AAGAAGTGAGATGACATGGCATTGTCTGTGTTGCTGACAGCTGCCAGGTTCATTAGATAAGGTGAATTTTGTGTATATTACTGTCGGTATATCTATGAGGTTCACACAGTGATCTGTTGTTTCTTTTGTTCACCTAGTCACTTTCAAGACGCTGACTAACTCTGAGTCACAGTGGTTGGTGGCTAGTACCACAAGCAGAGTATCTCTTTTCATTGCCTGTGTCAGATTGGAAATGTCTGAAAGGGAAATGAGGATGTTAAAATTTGATTCATGCCACATAACATTAGGTTAGGTTGTTTTCCATTTGTAGCCTGGTAAAGGCATATTCTCAAATGCCTAACATAATCTGTACATCAGTAGCAGTTATTGTCAAAGAATTAATGAATACCATAGTCTGTGCTCTTTCTATATATGCACATAGAATAAAACTACATAGAGAGAAAAGGAAATAAAATTAAACAATATAAAAAAGAAAAGGTTCCAAGTTATAAAAACTATAAATATATAGTTTTAATTCAATTAACTTCCCTCATTAATTCATTACCAGAAAGTTAAAAAATGAAAGTAGATAAACTACTCAAAAAAAAAAAAAAAAAGAAAAAGTGTGTTTATTTAACAATTTTTCCTATTTGATAACAGTATAAAGAATAATTTTATCACTTAGGAAATACTTAATATTATTTAGCAGTAACTCACTAATATCTAAGACTTCTAAACAAGGTGAAATCTAAAAACATTACTTATATCCCCCCCCCCTATTTATCAACAGATCAAACATCCACAATCATAAGTAAAAATCCTTTTGATATTACATAGATAATAATTTTAAAGATTTATAAGATTACATAATAATGATTTGAGGGAAAATTTTATAACTGCTATTAAAACTCATAAGTAATCCTCGGATTTAACCTATTAGACATAGTTTGAATTGGATGCTTTCAAAATGACCACTGGTATAAGAACTGAATGCAAAAGAAAGCAATCTAGATTACAAATTGTGAGTCCAATGTGAAAAAAATAAAAATTTAAAAGAAAACTGTATCCTCAGATTCTGTTAAGTACAACAGGTTTATAGAAATTAATGCTTATGGCAGTAGAAAATAGAAAAGATTATATTTAGCAGCTGAAAAGGATATGAATAATTGTCAATGAAAATAAAGTCTACAAGAAACATTGTTTCTGATAACATTCTTAAATTGCAAACCCTATCTAATTCCTTTAAGAAAGAACATTTACATTGGATTAGATTTCCTCTATTTTGTTAATGCAAATTGCAAAAATACATTTCTAATTTGGAACACAATTTTGTTTCCAGTTATTCATTCTTCTGTCAATTTTATTAGAATTTATTTCTCAAATGGCTAAGAATGTCTTTGAAAACTTGCACATACTATGAAGGTTTTTTATCCATAAAATTTGTCTCATGACAATAAATCAATTTACTTTTTCATTTCTCTTCTTATTATAGCTAACATTCTTATTCACTTAAGTAAACTTAAAATAATCTGTAAAAAAGAAAAATAAATAAAAATAAAGCAATATTCAGTTTGCCTTGTAAAAATACACGTAAAATTATATGGGAATTTAAACATTCCATTCAGATAATGCATAAAAATATTTCAAAACAAGTGATTCCAAAGAATTATTGGGTCAAATTTGAATACACACAGGAAGTACAATTCAAGGTTAGTATTATTGATGAGTGAATAGTGTGAAAAGTGGAATTGACTAGCTGAGTTCAATTTACATCCTTGACTACTGCATTCACTTTCGTACAAATACCTTTTGGAAAGACTTCTTCAGTTATAGGTTAAATAGCAAGGTAGAATATTGTCCTTTTCCTAGACTAGCAAGTCTAGGAAAAGGACAACTTAATTTAAAACCACAGAGAAGGTGATGGGAAATCATTCCACTGCCTTTCACAAGAAGACTTGGCAATTCATATATAAAAGATATAAAATCTGTGGAGAGCTATGATCACCTATATCCTGAAGGGCCATGACATTAAAAAAAAAATGTGAGAGCAAAAAAGAATAAAATAAAAACAGAAAATTAAAGAAGGCAAAAGTTATAGTTTGGCAATTCACATTTAACTTAAATTGATTCTTTCATGAAATAATTGCAATACAGTGAAATTTAACAGATGTCTCAAAGTGCATACTTCAGCTATACACACAAGTATACCATCAGAACTTGATGTTATGCTTCGGTGTATAACCCAAAAGTTTTAGTGGTGAACTCCATTTCTAAATAATAATTTTCTTTACCTTGACTAAAGTGTTTTTATAATGGTTTCTTTTCCACAGCAAAAGAATAGTATACAATATGAATATAAACTATTTGGATGTTAGTTGCAATAATTTATAAATGTTTAAAATCTCTCAAACCTATATAAGACAATGAAAAACTTTATAGAACAAAATGAGTTTCAAATTTTGGTAAATTTAATATGAAATTGAAACAGTGTTGAGAGTATTATCTACTAATGTTATTTTCAAATTCATTTTTAATCTACATTTAAATGTTTTTAGGAGCATTTAATGTTTGCTGTTTTTTTTTCATCACATAAGCATAGATACAACATTAAATATTACAGCAAAATAAATCATTTACAGTAAAAAGAAAATTAGTGCACATGGAATAATGATTTAGTAATTATAAATTTATATCAATTCAATAAGGTTGTAATGATCAAGCAAAATTAGCAAAGACCAACATTCTATTTCTACTTGGTTCTCACTCTCTAAAAGTTGTCAATAACATAAGAAAAAAAAAATTGAGCTCCAAACAAATCCTATTTTTTCTGTTTGAGGTTTGTTTGTTGAAGAATACTTTTAACAGTTGTTATTATGGATAATTTCCTCAATAACATTAGACAGTCACAAGTAAAAATAGTAAAAGTAGATGTGGTAAAGGAAAAAAAACCATTAAATAGGAACCAAAAATAACATTTCTTACCAGGTGATATTCTAGAACTCCAGAGAACAAAGCCAATCAAATCAAAGAGATTCTCATACTAAAACAGTACACTCATATGCAAATGAAATATCTTATTTGCATAACAATCCAATTTAATATTGCAGTGCTTGTTGGTGTGATATTTATTTTATTTTATTTTTTTTCTTTGTAAAGAATCTTGGTCTTAGTTCTAAAAAGCCATTTCCCCAGATAATATCTCTCCCTTTCCATTAAAAGTGGGAAGACCAAAGTTAATCTCTGGTGCCTTATATATCCCAATAAGGAAATTCCAAAGGAGATGAGTAAATTTTGTTCCTAGTCCCATGTGTGCATGGGACTCCTACTTTAACCTTGGCCGTATCCTATATTCTATTCAAGTAGGCATACAGATAAATGCCAACTGCCATAAAGAATGTTGGTGAAGGAAATGACTAACAAGTTAGTCTCACAGCTTTAGTTCTCTAGTAATTTCAATACTTAATTCTGCAAGAATAAAGTAAGATTAGTAAATACCAATAAGGAATCTTGGGGTGAGATAAAACAAGATATTTAACTAAATCTAGCAGTCTAGTGCCTACTCTAGAGTAAAAGTTTTTATCCCATTTTTTCTCTTATAAAGGTAATCATGTAATATTCACTCTCTGTCCATTAAGAAATATCTTAAACTTTGTTATATAGAATAAAAATTTATATATGTATATACAGACCTTGCAAATGGCTAATAAAAATATATACAAATATGCAAATTTTGATAAATTTTGTTGAAATCATTTAAAATTTCCTAATTGAGAATTTTTTTGCTCAAATTTTGTCAATCACACCAAAGTTTTTATACTCTTATATTTACATTTCAATCAGGACCTGCTTTAAACTAAATGTACTAACTTGTTAGCTAGTTATGCAAAACACAAATGTTAACAGGATAAATTTAAAAAAAAAAAATGATTCCCAATTTTAAAGGAAATGTTATCAGCAAAAAGTTATTCAACCAAGGAATTGCTTATAAGCGATTTTCTGTATTGTGATCCTATTCTTCATGTTTCCTTCTTTCCTTAGCCCCTTTGTTGAAAATTATTTTTCTAGTCTCTTTTTCTTAGGATTAAAATTAAATAAAGAATATTTCCTTCTTTCACTTGGAAGAAATAAGTTAATTCTTTTTTACTTTAATGAAAATATCTATATATATGAAAAGTTTTATTTTCTCCAGTGCTCCAACATGGATGTCCTAGTATACATAATAAATCTTTGTGATAACAAATATACTATTCAGTTTGATTCAACAAATTGGATATAAAGCAAAAATCACATCAAGCTTAATATTTTGTTCACATCAAAATCACATCAAGCCTTATATTTTATATTAATCACATCAAGCTTAATATTTTCTTCAGAACATATTTGCTGCTGACTGGCATTGGTGCTACACTACAATTTCTTTATTTTTCTTTTCTAGTTTCCTTAATTATTTTTGCTAGATGGTCCTCCTTTATCAAGTGTTATTAAAAAAATAAATTACATAGAACACTGTACAAGCCACTACAAACCAAAAAGTGAACTTTTAATAATCTTCCATTCTCTCAAAATACAAGATTCTATAATTGCAATTTACTATAATGATTTTACTAGCATGGGAAAATTATCTGAGTGATTCAGTAAAGATAAGGCTGAACTAGCTTGTTATTTACTTGCTACAATTCATATTTAGGTATAGATAAATTCAGGTAGATTTTCCTAGAGTCATGGCTTTACCAAATGTTAGAATATCAAAGAGAAATTAATAGCAAAGGAGATATTTTTATGAAGAATATTGAAGCTCTTGAAAATTATGAATAGGCTATTATTTTTCATGAACATCATAAGTTCATAAATAGATAACTTACTATTTAACATTTTAGATAATATTTTTATATTGTATTATTTAAATATTTTAGTTATTTGGTGCTCTTTTACAAATACATGACATAATTTTATACCAGTGCTGTTAATATTGATAATTTGGGTGGAGGGGAATACAAAAATAAAAAAGATGATGAACTAACCTTATTTATAATAGTATCTTTTTCTTTCTTGATTTGATATTCCATTTCTTCATAAAGTCTTTTCACTTCTTCATCGTAAGAGGAAGTTTTGCTAAAATAAAAAGAAAATCCAAAAAACTGATTAAGAATGATTTATAATCAAAACACAAGAAGTTAAATGAACAAAAGTTAATGGATGCAATAGCAACAATTCAACAGAGATGAGTTCCAGCTAGCCAAACAAGTGTTTAAGACTTTCTAATTATCATATAATTCTATTATGATGCCAAGTGGTGTTTGGGAGTATGTTGTTCTTTACAAGTCTTCTTTTAGAAGATATTATATATATATATATATATATATATATATAAAAGAGAAATAAAAGTATTAATGAATAACAACAACAACAACTTTTCAAATCAATAATTTTTGGTGTTAAATTATCAAAAATGACAAGATTTTAAATGAAAAATATAAGATAAGTTAAAAGATACTTTTGTGCTATCTGGAGTACAGAAAAATAATTTTTAAAATATACAAGCTGAAATAAAATTAATAAAAAATGCATTAACTATATACTTTTATGGATTTCAACTTATATATATATATATATATATATATATATATATATATAAGTATATTAATCAACTGCTAAAAAAGTTGCTATTCTGATTTTAATATTAGATTAATAACCTGATTTTTTTGTAAAAATTACGTAAAATGTAAAAAAGTTTAACCCAAAGTGTAACAATACTTTTCTTATGAGAAACATATACATTATAAACATTTGCTACTTTTGGTTTGTGGGTTAGAGAAAAATATTAAAGATTAAGATGTTCAAAATTGTATTCAAGTCTTCAAACTGGTTAATTTCATGATTAAAAGTTATTCTTTGAGAAGAAAAATATGGACAAACTAAGCTAAAGATTATATTTGTATGTAGTCATTTGTTATTTATAAAATCTGTGATATCCACATACATTATATATATTATAATGAATTTGATGAGGCCTGAGCTGCTTGAAAGTTAAGGTTCTTTAAATCAAATCAATTTTTCATCTTGGATTTTTAAGCTCTTCCATTCTCTTTATGTTTGTACACATGAATGTATTTAGTCAAAGACATATTACTCATATATACACAACTCATACATACATATAGCAAAAATAGCACATATGTATACATAACACACACAGTACCAACCTTGCTATTGGCTTTTTAAAAAACAGCAAAGTGGTGGATGATGGAGAGCAGCATTTTAAGTGTTTCATCCGCCTACTACATTTACACAAATAGGTAGTGATATTATCTCTAGACTAACAGCTGTATCAAGTAATAAACTTTTTGATAATGTTAGTGGTCAAGCATCAGCAGAATTCTTTTTCTACTATTCTTTCTTCAACAAAAAAATATGAATAAATCAGTTCTTGAAAAACTATTACTAGGTTGTAGATAATGATTTCATTGTACAAAGAGAAGTCAAAAATTATATAGATATTCTTATAAAGTTTCATTTTATTTATATAACTCATGTCATGTGCAAGCATGTACCGAAAAGTGTATTTTAATAGGATCATATATATAGGATTATATATTGGGAATTATCTTAACTGGCATTGTTACAGAATACCAACATTGTCTATAATGAGCAGAATTTCATACCTTCATACTTATAGTTTTCATTTAAATGTGTATAAAAGAGTAATCTATTAAGTTCTATTAAAACAATACATTAATAGTAGAAAGATGAAAGTTTTTTTTTTTTTTGTTGTCCCAGTACTTTTGATTATGTGGGTAAGATAATAAATAAAACCACATATAAATATCTTCAAGGTCAATAAGCTAAGCCTGAGTGAGTGGATATTGTGCAACATAATGATAAGAATCAACAATTAAGAATCAGATGTGGTATGCTTAATGAAATCATTAGATTGACTTACACCTTTTAATAAGAACATCATCTCTGGTGCTAGTTACCATATGTATTAAATGGCTGCAGTTGCATGTAAGTATGTAATGTTTAGAGTAAGTAAATAAAAAGAGTGGGAGTGGGAAAAAGGAAAGAGAATAAAACTTGGAATGTCGACTTTAAAGACAGTAATTTTAATCCACTTCTTGACATTTGTAAAAGGACAGAAATTATTCATTTCACATTACTTGTGACCTAATGGCATCTACAGACACGAACCTCAGTACACCAATTCAACTTTATTTCAACAGTTCTAGCCAAGTTGCAATACTGGCTAGCAATTAAGAGAGCAGTTGTTATGTACAGTTGATAAATATAGAGTATGCAAGACTTTTCTTTTGTTACCTATTACAAACTTGCAAAAGGTAGATAGTTCATAGCTAAGTTATATTGAACTTTTAATATTCATTTCATGAAAATTAGTAATATATGCAGTAGGCATTGTACATATACAAAAAATACATATGGCAACATATGAATCCATATATTTAATATCCAGTCTTAAAGTTAATTTATTTTTGCAGTGATAAATGTGTAATGAACAAGAACCATTCTTTCCTGCCAACAAGAGACAAGCATATATTGTCATCCTCATAGGCAAGAAAATGACAAAATTATTATACAAATAAACATGATCATTTTGAATTATCATGCATTTATTGGTCATATCGTATCTCTGGAGAAAACATTTGATACAGAGTGTCTACCCATGACATAGTGGCTAGCAAAGTTGTAATAATTTGGATTTTCACTGGGCACCCCACACTTATGACCTTGTGCCAGTCTAAGGTAAGCTTAGTTAAGATAAAATGGGATACAAATGTACTGACTTTCTCTTATTAGATAGTACAGATGAGTAACTTATTTGAATTAATTTTTGATCCTTTGACTCTTTTGCGAATAATTACAAACAAATGGGAAGCAATTTGTTGTACAATTTATTGTTTCTGCAAAACTATGAACAAGCTTTTAGACAAACATGCTGTAAAAATACAGTTGTTGTGAAATCCACAACAGTATATTGTTAGCTATTTTTAGATAGCTCAGAGAAGGAAATAAATAGTTTTGTTTGCATTGACAAACCTTCTCAAGTAAAAAACAAAGAAATAAAACAAAATAAATCAAACACAGAAAAACATTTGTCTTTAGCAGTTGACAGCAAATAATGATAAAAAGATGTATCATAATGCAAAATTGTCATTACATTAGAAGGAAAAGATGTACCATAATGCATAAAACCATACATTGTTTTTTGTTGTGGAGGAGGAAAGTATTGTACAGTATTTGTATTCCAATATTGGAAACATATTCAAAAGCAATAGATTAAGATTAGTTTTATAAAAAGAAAAATATTATTTATGAAAGAAGTTTCTGAATTGCATGCTTAACATTTTAATTAACAAAAAATGTGAAAGGTTTTGTTAATAGTTTGATGCTCATTAATATCTTTTATTTTATGAAAAAAGTAATGTTATTTGCTTATATATATACAGTAGCGTCCAAAACTAAGGGACAAAATTTTAAAACCTAATATTTGTTAGAAATAACAACTGTGAAAAGCTGAAATTTTGACAACTGGTAGTCGTTATCATCCATAATAACATACTAAAATTTGAATCATTTGCAAAGGATAGAAAAAGAATTATAACAATTATTTATTTATTTTCAAAATAGGATTGTCCAAAAGTAAGGGACAAAATTGGAAAAACAATGTAAACAGTATGCTATATTCAAATTTTTTTGATTTCCTCTAAAGAATAAGTCTTACTTAGTCATTTGTAAACGTTGCATCAACCCGGCACCATGGCGAAAACGTAAAAACTTGATTACTCTGTGAGACAAGCTATTGTGAAGCTACACAAGGAAAAGCACACCATTAGAGAGATTTCAGAGAAAGTGAAACGTTCCAAGAGTGTTGTAGGCAGGGTTGTTAAATCCTACAATGATACTGGCAAAATAGTGCTTTTAAAACCGGCAGACCCCGTAAAACTTCGGCAAGAGAAGATCAAATAATGCAGCGTATGTCATTAAAGGACTGTTTTAAGTCTTGCACAGAAATTAAAGGGTTATGAATAGTACCTCATGTGTTAATGTGTCAAGACAGACTGTTTGTAGACGACTGCAAGAAATAGGGCTGTTTAATCGAACCCCAGGGGAAGAAACCACTTGTTAGTTCAAGAATAAGAAGAAGAGATTAGAGTTTGCAAACAGGTATGTAATTTGGACATATGAAAATTGGGCAAAAGTATTTTTCAGTGATGAAAGCAAGTTTAATTTATTTGGAAATGATGAAAAAAAAACAATGTAAAAGAGACGATTGGTGAAAGATTAAGTGCAAAGTGTACTAAGAAAAACTGTCAAGTTTGGGGCGGAAGCGTCATGGTATTTGGAATGTTTTCTAGCCAAGGTACAACGCCTCTTGTCCGGTTACAAACTCGTAAACGCGCAGATCTATAAAACATTGTTCAAGATCATGTTGTGCCAATCATACAGAATTCAGGTTTCGATAGGGCTACCTTTATGCAAGATAATGCCCCATGTCACAAGGCAAAGGTGGTAATGAGTTACCTTAAAAAGCAAGATTTGGAAATTATGGATTGGCCACCGCAAAGTCCTGACTTAAATCCAATAGAAAATCTTTGGAAAACGTTAGGAGTGAAAGTTATGGAAAGAAATCCCACTAACACGGAGGATTTGTGGGTGAAGCTTCAAGAAGAATGGTCTAAAATTAGTATCGAGGATTGTCAAGAACTGATTCGTTCTTGTAGTCGAAGATGTGCAGCTGTCATTGAGAGCACGGGCTCATTTACTAAATATTGATTGTACATGTATTTTTATTGTTTTTTTGCCGTTTACATTGTTTTTCTCAATTTTGTCCCTTACTTTTGGACATTCCAAATTTGAAAATAAATAAATAATTGTTATAATTCTTTTTCTATCCTTTGCAAATGATTCAAATTTTAGTATGTTATTATGGATGATAACGACTACCAGTTGTCAAAATTTCAGCTTTTCACAGTTGTTATTTCTAACAAATATTAGGTTTTAAAATTTTGTCCCTTAGTTTTGGACGCTACTGTATATATAGGGAAATTTTATGACCAAGTGGAAAAAGTTTACTTGTGACACATTCCATCCTTCAG